GGCAAGGGGAGATAACCTCCAAAAGTCCCCTTGACCTCGCTCTATGATAATATAAGAGATCACTCTCCCTTTCCTTCAGGAAATATCTTTACAGTAACCTCCCTAGTTTTGGCCACTGAGAGATAACTTCTTTTAAGTCAAACTCTCCCTCATCTATTTTCTGTCCAAAAAATTTGAACATTCAAAATATCAAATTAGATTTTCTAATTTCCTCTCAAAAAGTAACTGAAGATTCAAAATTTGACTCCATGAAGTAACTTGCTTTCAGCTCTGTTATGTGTGATTTAAGGCTTATCTAGGAACACACTTGAGACATGATAACAGCCAAACACATGCAACACAGACATTGCAATAGATGGAAACAATGCAGGCAACTGCTGTGTTTCTGACCATACAGGGTCACTAAGAAAAAGCAATAAATACCAAACACTAAGTGCTGAGCCTGTTTGAAAAACAAATTGTAATCATACCATGATGCAAAAGCATCAAAAAAAAATCCTTCTTGCAATACAAAATCATACTGAAACATAAACTACTGCTAAGTAGTGTTAATAAGTGTTAGTTGTTTTACAATTAATTCCTGTTATATTATGAATCAGAGGGCAATTTTTCAAGTGTTGTGTTTTGTATATAAAAATCTGACAATATGATTTTTTCCCAAAGATACTTTTATCTAGTTTTAATACTCTATTTTGGCATAAAAATTATATATATAAATGCATATATTTCTATGTATACACACGCACAGACAAAAGGTGGCCCTTTATAGCTTTACCAAACCATATCAAAAGGAAGACATGGCAATTCTAGTAGCTTCCTGGGTGAAGCTCAGAACCTGTAGACAACCTACCCAGGCCTTCCTGGTGATCCATTTTAATGGAGTTCTAAAAGCAGAATACAAATGTGGAATGAGATAGCCCTTATAAAAGAAATCTTTTTGAAATTCAAAGAGAAATGCATAAACCTCCATATTACAATGATCAGAAGATACATATTTGATAAAACTCTCTAAGAAAGTAAGAAACATGAGAAACGGAATTTATCCAGGAATATGCTCGCCACGCATAAGAGCGGCATTCCCCTCCAGATCAACAGCGAAATCCAACTGAATTTGAGACCAAAATCTCATACACTGACAATATCCATTGAAACTGAAGTACAGCCAGCTAAGCCATACAAATGCCTCAATTTCTGAAAATATTACATGACACTACTTCCTGAAATACGTTAAATGAAACATATTACTCCATGCCTGCTCTTCACTTGGCCTGCTAACTTGACCCTGCACTCTCCCAATTTCATAAAATAATATATGAACAGAATTACCATCATCATCTTGAAAAAAGTCCATCATTTCTCTAAAATGATCTCCTAATAGTGAACTCCAAATGGAACTGCAGCACTTGTATATTGGCCTTCAAAATAAATAACCATATCACAGTCTTCAGTTTAACGTGATCGGTGTGAGACAGAAGCTAAAATGTGAGCAGAAGAGAGATTTTATTTATACTTTCCAAGTGTTGGTCTGCAACTCCAGGACCGATAGTTTGGTTCCAATTCAATCTGAGTGAAATTTAGAGAATTGTTTCAAAATTCCACTCTACAATAATCAAAGTTGCAGCCACATACATAAATTCATAACTGATTTAAAAACATAGGAATAAAAATACCTGCCAGTCACCATAAAAAAAATGCATCCCTACAGAAAATTAAATACTGTATACTAGAACATGCACAGCATGTAGCTGCATGCGAACAGTTTTACCACAATCAATGATCCACATTCCTCCAGAGAGCTTGAAGCAAATCACAAGACATTTAACTGCAACAAAATATGATTTGAATAATATACAATAAAGCTACATATGACGAGGCATATCACAAACTAAAAATAATATACAGCTCTAAAGGTCTAAAAGTAACTGCAAAATTATTGTGCTGCTATTTACTATATAATTGTTCCTTAACTTCTTAAAATTAACTTGAACAGCTCTGCAAATCCTCGGAGGAAGACGTGTTGTGAGCACTCAATTTGTCATTGCATGATGCTAGGTGATAAGTTGACTTAACTTCCTTTTAAAATTCATGAGCTCTATATAATCTACTTTATGTATTATTTATTTTTGTAGTCACTTCTGGTCTTGGCTGAGAATCAATAAATAAATCGAAAAAGTGAAATATTTTTACATTATCTACATATAAAAAAATCAATATAATACCACATATTTTCATTTAATTCTGTGTTACCTGCCTGGAATGGATAAGCTACCAGAATACTCCAAAATGAAAGACTTTTTAAAAAAAAAATTCAGCTGATAGGTATAACAGATAACCATGGTATTGCTGGTCATAACACTTTTCATCTCAAAAGCCCCCTGAAGTACCTCAGACAGCTTATGCATGCATCATAAATTCTAAAAGGGGCCACCTCTGGAACCAGGAGGGAGCTAATAATCACTAGCTTGAACAGAAGCAGAGACTCAGAAATTGGTCCAGCTGCACATGCAGGAAGACCAAATACAAAAGAAAAATCACCTGAAGTAGCTTTAGAAGATCGCTGCACAGTCCTTCAGGCACAAAACTGCCACGTGCCCCAAGAATGCTGCTCAGCAGTGAAAAGGAGACGGAGTCTGCTTCACCCCCTGATAAAACCAAGCCTGGTTACTAGCTCATCCAATAACACGGCCCAACAATAATTTTAAGGAGCAGATCATTACTCTTCACTTGCCTATTCCCACTTACTTGGGAAAGCTTCCATCACTCCCTTTTAATCTGATCCCAGGAAAACACTGGGAAATATCCATTTACGGAATGTCAGTATTGATGAGGGGAGGTCTTTCACACATATCTATGAAACTAACAGTATTATTTTTCTGTCTTCTTCCTCTGAAATCTTCTCCCAGATCAATTTTCAAGGCTGATTTCTATAGGAACCTGTTTTGGACATCTATCATTTTAGAAAAGCTCAAATCAACAAGAGAGAAATCAACAAAGCAGAAAGAAGAAAAAAAAGTGATTAACATGGTTCTCAGTAGATGATGAAAGCTGCTCTGCAAGGCTGCATAGAAATAGTGAGAGGTCATTAAGAAATTGGAACAAGGCATGCATTGCCAAAGATGAGCTGCTCTATGAGGGAGGGTCTTCAGAAGCTTAGACAAAGAAATTTTTCTCCTTTTGTAGGTTTAAAATGCAACTCCAGAGCCCTATATTATCTTCACAAATTAAATCCTTGCTATAATACAAAAGAGGGAAAGCATATTCCAATTCATCTACACTAAACTAAACTTCCAACTAAAATATCTTAATCTCTGAATCAGGAAAACACTTCCTCTCCGCACTCCGCCCGAGAAGAGTACCAAGTATGTATTAACTTAAACATTTCTTTTGCAGCCACTGAAAATAACAAGAGGAATCCAGTCTTCACTGAAAAACACTAAATAAAAAAAACCCACTAATGTGTTTTTCCACATGGGGCCCAGCTTGCACACTTCTCTGTGAATGTTATTAGAGAAAATTGCACTTAGGTATCTCAAAGCTAAGTTTATACCAAAAGACATTAATAGATTTCCTAGCTTTATTTAACCAGACCTATTTCCCTCCAACATTTTAGCACCTTAAAATAAAGTGACATCTCTACAGTTATTGTCAATGTCTGGCATGCGAGTGATACACTTAATATATGTTGCTGTCTCTAAAATGGTTGATTATATAAATAAAACTACCTTTAAGTACATTTGGAAAACATGGAATGTATTAAAATAGCTTGCAAACAAAAAATATGTTACTGTTAATAAATCATTACTTAAACGAAGAATTAACTATCTATGAAGTTTAGAAACATCAGAACCAAATGTCTTGAATCACTAAAAATAGATAAATAGCATAATCTTAGACAATCAATGTAACATATAATATGTCAAACTATCACGATTTGTAGCCAATGCAATCTCACACAGTTTAGCTGGACTTTGTGGCAGGGGTCAAAGCAGGATATATTGGATGGGCGTGAGTTGCCAGTGACAGAATATTAGCTCATCTAATCAACTTGGCAATGATCCTTTTGATAAGGAAAATACAATTTCTAAATTATTTTTAAAGCCAAGTACTGCTCTCAGTGAGCTGGGAATAATCTTCGAAATACCCAGCACAGCTAAAAAGTTTCTTCTGAAAACTTTTTACATTGATGCAAACTGCAGGGCTGCTTACAGAACTAAGGCCTTTCTCACAGCAAGTCTCTGGTTTAGGCTGTGTGCATATCATTGCTAGGTCTTCAGGCCATCCTTTGGGTTTTCACCCATAATGGAGTTTAAAATTGGTGAATAAATATTTAGACAGAGAGCTCTGACTCTTGTTTCATGTGTCTATTCTCCAGAGAAAAGTGAACATTCTAAACAGTACCGAAAATCTTTGCTCAATATTATTCAAGTTTTGCTAAACCCAACAAATATTTTTTTTGAATATTTGCACCAAAATCATAAAAAGTATCTAAACAATATGTTCTTAAAAAAGGTATTTTACTTTGTTTAAAAAAAAAAAAATCTTCTCCTGTCCTGAAGACAAAAAATCCTAGATTTAAAATATGAAGAACTATTATTGGGAAAAAAGACTCAGAATGAGATCCCCTCCTACAATTCTAAATTCTGCAGATAGTAATTTGCCATCTATGATTTGTCATTCAAGTTTTCGCAGGGGCTGGCAATATTCTTTTTTTTTTTTTTCCCCTCTCCTCCTTCCCAGCAGCAAAATTCATGACAAAAAAAAAGCTCATTTTTAGCAGTAAAAACAAAAACGCAAGCAAAAGTAATTTTCATGCAGTGAAAAATAAAATAGAAGAAATTCGTACTTCACAGTATGGCCATAGCTGGAAACAGCTTCTATCTCATTAAAAATATTTTAAGATCTTTAACCTTCTTGAAAATTTTCTTTAATTCATTTTGATACAAAAGTTACATGTGCAAACTAATCCTTTGTGGTGCCTAAATTATTCGTCACATACTTACTCTCTTTTCGGACATCCTGGAGCGATGAGTGAAGTTCTTCTTTAAATACAATTGCCTCCTTGGCAATTTTTGCTCCCTTGTCCAATAGATTCCAAGTGGCTTCTTCCACAGAAGCTAGCAAGACACGAGCTCTTTTGGACCGTCCCTTTTTCTTTCTAGAAGGATTCTGTGGACAGTTCACTAGTGTTGTAACCTATATTTAAAAGAAACAAGACAAAACAGGCTTAAGTTCTACAGCAGTTTTCCTATTTTAAAAACCAAATTAATATGGGTGAGAATAAGTAGTGAGATTTACCCTGCTTTATAAAGGGGCAGGCAAGCCCAGCATACACAGTGAGAATGGACAAAACTATCACTTCAAGTTTGACAGGTCACATTATCTAAGATGCCTGATCTGTGCACACTTCATTCTAAAGCCACAAAGCAAAGTCAGTGGAAACCACATTATCACATTAGCCCTGATACAGACTTAAACTGCTTTATGATATAAATATTATTTATTATATTTACAGAGGCTTCCATTAGGGCAGGCATTATAATAAGCGCTTCTCACACTTCCATATCTCATGAGCTGTCTGAGGAACAAATAATCTAGTTGTATACAGATGCATCTCAAAATGCTTCCTCTTCTTACAGAGGAGGATCACAGCGGTCAAAATTCAGCACTTTAGAATTCTGAGGGTTTTTCATACATTAACATTGTTCAACATATTACTCAATCTAGATTACAGCATCTTGGTCCAAATTATGGCTTAAGAACACATGTCAACAATCATAAAGAAGCTATTTTTATGCAGCAACCCACTCCACATTCCTCATCCTTCACATAGCCTCCTCACTCCAACAGAATGTTTCTAACAAACTTCTCTAAAGCACAACTTGAGTTGTCATGATAAGGGAACACTCCTAAGAGATTTTTAAAGAAAAGTGTTAGAGACATTTCAAAACATAGTTTATTTTCAATAAGTTCACAGATATTTTTCAATCTTCCTACTTCTGCTCTCTGTGCAAAAACATAGACAGTATAATTTTAAGTATTATATTATTGCTAACATTAAATATATATTAAAAAATATTTTAAGAATTATCTGTATTATTTACTGCTAATACTGAAATATTATATGAAGTAAAAACCTACTCTCAAAGCTCAAAGAGTACATTTTGTGTGTATATAACTGCAAGGGAAATATTTGTGGCAAGGGAATTGAAAACACTATTACACAAGCAAATCAAAAGTTGCGTGTGAACCTCTGAATCCAACATGCAACTTAGCTCATGGCTGCAGCACAGCTCGTGGTTTGAGCTAGTCTAAGGAAAAGTGCTGCTTTCACAAGCCCACAAAAAAGATAAGGTCCTGTCTCCCAGGCACTGTTAGACTTTGTTCTTCACTTCAAACGCTTTCAAGCTTTTCATGAAGCAACACTTTCAAAAGCTCTAATAAATATCCTGAGGGAAGCATTTCTATGAAAGCATCCTTAAAAGAAAGCCTTGGTCCCTACCTTATTCAGGTGGAATTTGTGATACACAAAGACAAACCACTTGACATCAACTGCCTTAGAAAGTCACAAGGGAGATATTTATGTGACTATCTCTGGCTCAGACGATTAAAGAGAGTTTGAGCATCTTTCTAGCTCAGCCACAAAACATGGTAAATGAGATTATTTACTGCACGTAAATCAACCAGCTTGTAGGGAATGCACTGGGAGTAAGAATCTAACTATCTTTATCTTTACAAACCCTAAAACATTATTTCTAGAGCATTTAATGCAGCATCTACAATTATATTTTGAGAAATGTTTAAACAGTTTGCAGGCTGATATTTTTAACAAAGACGACAGAAAACGGAATGTTAAAAATATATACAGCAACTTATTAAGCTAAGACATCATTTAAATGCCTTTTAATAGTCAAATTACTAATATTTTATATTTCTGATTTTACTCCAGTTTCATTCTTATGAATAAAAACTACATGGAATAATATTTCACTTATGTTTCCAGGAGGAGGAAAGCAAATAGTACAAATGGAAAATACAAAAAATAGTCTTTCCTACAGGAGGAAGATCATGACTGCAAGATCCTTCATATTCAGCAAAACTGTCAGGACATATGAAAAGCTAAAATACAAGGATTTTATGGAAATGGCCCCAATGCCCAAATACCTCAAATATTGATCAAAATTTGATAGGTAGGTCTTTGGCTCAGAGGTTAAGGAATAAACATTACTCACATCCCTAACACAGATGCTCAAGGAGGAATGCAAACACTCCAGGCAGATCTTACACAGAAAGAATTGAACTACGCAGTAGTTAATATTTTGTGGTTTTCAGAGTCATTGTCAAGACAGTTTGTAACATAGAGATACAGGAGTCAAAATGATAGCATTACAGGAGATAAACAGAGAAGCCTGTCTCCATTTATCAGGTTTACGCCTTTCTGCCAGTTATAAATACACTTTCCTACTGCTATATACAGCATGCCTGATTCCCAGCTTTCAAGAGAAATCATTATCATCAAGATTTTATTTAGTATATTTCAGAAGAGAAACAGAGCTGTACTAAAAGCACAAGCTTTTTTACATGTGATTTTCAAGGCCATTTGCCAACACAGCTGTAAAGCTGAATCATGATGTTGGTACTTGTTATTGCCAATCTCAACTGTTAACTTTTTGTCATAGTTGCCCTAAATACTGAATTCCTAAGGAATTATGCAGCAATTCTTCAGAAGCTGTATTTGGTTCTTGGACATGATTTACACCTAGTTCTTTAATATTGCAGTAATTTAGGAAAATAACGCTTTAATATCTTTAGTACCAAAAGATTCAGTTTACCTTTGTTACTACTGTAGAACAAAACCACAAAACAGCCCTTCGCTGTTGAAAAGGTAGTTGGTTCAGCATATTCTGCAATCCTAGGCATTTTGAAGAAAATAAGGCACTTGAAAGCAGCTGCCCAATGACATGGCAAAGCCACACACTAATTGTTTCAAACACTAACAGTCCTTTGTCTAAGCCAGACATTTGGGGATAACGAACAAACTATTGCCCATGCCAATAAATTCTACCTAATCATTTTTATTAAACACAAAAGTAAGCTCACCATATATGGAACTAAAGACACAGCAGCATCTGGCTTGGATGTGTGCAGCCAAACTTTTTACAGGTGGGAATGCCTTTCCACTTCTCTATTTTTAATCAGTGATACAAGGGACCCAAAAATACATGTGTGATTGCATGTGTTCTTAAAACTGCCAGTTACCTTCCCTGTCACATTTCTGTTGTGAGATTAAAAAAAAAAAAAAAACATTAATGAAAGAAAAAAAGGAAAAAAAAGCCAAACTCTTTGGTTGAAAGGATTTATCTCTTAACTAAGGAGTTTCCATTTCTAACAGACTCAAGCTTTAGAAAAGACACTCAAGATCATATTGTTTTTACAGATGAGGTAGTTTGTTTAGTTCTGAAAGGAGGCTTCTTGTTTGACTGTTTTTGTGGGGAGGTGGGTTGATCCTACAAAACACAGGTTAAGATCTTTATTAATTATGTTCCTTCATTTACTCTAAAAACACTCACAGCATTGCAGCTGCTTGAGAACAATCTGACCTACTGCCATTACGCAATAAAAGTTTTCTAATGCAGTCTGTCAAAGACATGTAGGCTTAACATTCAGATTAATTTCATAATCCATACACATAAGACACTCCAGCTTAACGACTTTGAGGAAACCACAGATCTGTGACTCGGGTTTTATACAGCATCAATCACACCCTTGCAAAAAAATAAAGAATTAAAGGCAGAAAAAATAAGTGAGTGACAGCTCCAAAATGAGAAAAATAATTAAGACAAACAAATCAAAAGTTTTGGATGGGTGAGCTAAAGAGCAGCAAAATTTTAAATGGGGCTTTGTGAAAGAGAAACTATTATTTTAATGAGTTGATTTTAAAAAGTGACTCTTCCTAGAACATGTTATAAAGCATGATCAGCATCAATTCATTTTTATTAGATGCTAGTATATATATAGCAGTTCTAGAGTAAATAAAGGACAAATTTACCATTTGAAACTCTTGCATTTGCAATTTGAAAGATTATAGGAAATGTGAATATATCATTACCTTTTCAAAATAACATCACAGATCAACTTTATAACCTGAAAAAAGCAAGTGTTCTTTGTACACAAGTTAATGGAGGGGAAAAAAATGATTTTGATACCACAGTTTCTCACATCAGTAAATTAAGAAAAAAAAGAAAAAAGTTAAGTCATCATCAGGTACCTCCTTATGTGAATACAATCAAGAGTTTAAACACAGTCCAGGATGGAATAAGCATGGAGAAGTGACTTCCCAGAGAAAGAGAAATACAAAGCATCAGTCTTCAAAACAAAAAGTTTCTCATACCGCTAATAAGTGGCTAAAATAATGCAGTGCATTAAAATAATGCATTATATTGTGTGTAACAGTACTGCAGAAAAAGCATCTAATCTACTGGCACAATTTATTGCAATAGGTGCAAGCAAGAATCTTGTTAAAGGAAACAGTAGACTAAAATGTAGCAGAGACTGGACATCCCTATAAAACAACCTTGTGATATTTATGCTTTGGAGAAAAAAATGAGATTAAGATAAATCAGGGCTAAAAGAGAAGACTACTAAAATTATAAAATGGAAAAGCTAAAGATTTACAAACACCTATATCCAGAAGACAGACCAACATAACTACTGCAAATATTAAATTGAAATTTTGAGTCTCTTGCATGCAGCAATAATCCAGAAGCAGCTGAACACTCTGCATTCAATATATTTGCATACACATTTACATATATAACATGAAAATGATAGAAACTATACAATGGAACAAATGGAGACCAAAGACAACCAGTAGGTTTTTATTATTATTACATGCCCCAGCATAACTACAATATTTTAAAATGAAATTAATTGAAAGTGAAATTCAGAATTCAATTCCTATGTAAGTGTTTACATCACTCAGAAGGCTATCAGCTGCTTTACAGCAACTGCCTGAGAAGGAAGCCAGGGTTCAGTTACTTAGGAGGAAAACTACATATTGGTATTTTGTACCAACTTTTATAATCCACTTGCTATGCCTCCCCTCCTCCTGATGCAGTTCTGTGCCTCACAGAAACAGGTTGCTTCTGTTCCTATCAGTATTAGAGAATCTTTACAGACAAAGAACTGGATCCTTTAAGGCACTGAAAACAACTCACACTTTAAATACGCTCTCCAGTTCATCAACTTTAAATCTTTTAAAATACTCAAGCTTCACTAACAGCACTATCTGTTCACAATGCTCACTGCAGAATCCTGTTCCCTGTAGCCTCCCCAAAATCATTCCCAGGATCTCATCTGGTAAGACCCTTCTCTCCAGACAGTAGTCCCAAGCTTGCTCTGAAAGGAGTATAAGCAGGAGCATACCAGGTCTTGCTCCTTCTTCCTGGTCCAGCCTGCATGCCCTATTCCTGTAGGTCTTGTACTTTCACATCCAAACATACATAGCACATCCCAAAGGAGTAGTGCTGTGAAAGCATAAATATTGCAGACTGTGATGAAATCTCTTCATTATATTGGATACCAAGATATTATTCATAAAGCATCTTGAGGGGAAAAAATGGCTCAGGCCCAGTGAGGGGCTAATCAGGGCCACAGGAACTCCAAATCCTTAAGAACGCATGCCTCAAGCCAACCCAGAGCTTGGGGACTCACAGCTGCAAGAATCTCCCTGGTCACTTTTGGGGCATAAATGTTTGGCATTGAGGTGAGGCCAAGCTATGTCACTCAAAATGCAAGAATATGACTAGAAGTGACCTATTTTAAGACCCATGATAAGAACTATCATGATCATGTGGTAAGCATGGACAGAGCATTGTGTGTGGCATGCAGAGCATGCTACAGAGCTCTATGGTTTAAGGGAGACAAAAGCTTAACATTTATGATGAGCATAGTCAAGCACTAGAACACGTTGCACAACTACGGAGTAGTTGTGTATTCGCCATCTTTGGAAATATTCAAAACTTGAACGGTTTATGTCCTGAGCAGCCTGCTATAGGTAAGACTGCTTTGAGCAAGAGGGATTAGACTAGATAAATCTCCCAAGGTTTCTTCCAACATTAACTATCACATGATTCTGTGTTAAATTACAAGTGAGGGATCACTCCAAGTGCTATGTTATAAACTGCAAGGATGTCACTTTGCACTGCTAGCAGAGGATTGTATCTATTCCTCCTTTTGTTGGGGCCTGAGGGTGTATTTACAAAGCAGGCATTGCTCTGACAGCAGCTTATGTAGATACATATTAATATTATATTACAGCTTGAAAAGTGATAATTTTATACCAGTTTTAAAAGAAGTGATTCAAGCACTTTAATTAGATGCTAAATTAAATTAACTCTGGTATATGCATCTATACTGCTAGTCAAGCCAGCTACTTTAAGATCACTTAATCTTCAGCTTACCTACACAAACTGCAGTCAGAGTACTGACCACTAAATAAGCAGTGTAGAGTTGTGACAGGAGTTTGATCTGCAACATCTTGGCAAAGCTAAAGCACAGTGATAGACTGGCATCTTTCTACTATGCATAATTGACTGATCAGAAGCAGGTGCTCCGTCTTTGCACTAAGAATAATGGAGTTCAAAAGAGTTTGAGATTCAAAATGGAAGACATCTCATCTTTCTCCTATAACATATTCCTACAGAGGAATTTTAGTACTCTTAGTTCTATACAATATATGCAAAACCAGTTCAGATCTTCTAAAGCTGAATCGTTTCCACTGTACTGAAAAAGACATTTCATAACCATGCAAAATAGACATGGATGTTCTCATTAAGCACTGCATATTTAACTGATGAATATTTTAAAAACAACTTACATATAGTATTCTGAAAAAAAAGTATCATCAACAAATCTGACAGCATTTTATGAAGTCCAAAAGTTATTTAGTTTGAAAGTACTCACATAATGTTTACAAAATATGCAATAATTACACGATCTTCAGGCATCTAGAATGTACACAATGTGCTTGTTTTCCCCATTCAGATAAACTCACCTGGAGTTCTGTTCACTATTTAAAATACAAAACACTGTGTTGGAACTCCACTTATAGTTCACTCTACATTTACACATCAACTAGGTAATTCCACAAAACTAGCTAGAACATGCCATATTTGTTATAACACTCTGAGGCAGGCTTCGTAAAAATGGAAGGGACTAAATGGATTATCAAATTGGGAGAACATTTCCTCTGGACTGTTCCTGAGTCAGAGTATCTGCCTGTACAGAAGAGCCATGGGTATGCTTTTCACAATAGTGTCCTTAGACAAAGTTCTGCCCTGTTCTCTACATATACCCAATTTATTTTCTGCAATATTAAAATACCTGAATTATCAATGGTTCCAATAGCTTCTCCACAGTAAATGTTTGGATCTGCAGATCTTGAGGATCAATTTTCAGTTTAATGTTCGGCACTTCTGTTGACATTTCACCTAGATACAAAACAAAAAAAAAATGTGCAAGTAATTGAATAAGCAACTATAATAGCAAGTCTCTTTGCTCTTGGTCAGCACCCAGAGACCACTTACTGAGAATGAGTCTTGGTGCAATGGCCAAGTCATATCATAAACTGTATACATAAACTGCAAAAATAATTTAAATAAATTTAAAATAATGCTTTGTCTTCTCTTCAGGTTTGTAAACTGACTTTGTACAAAAAAATCGTACTAGAAAACCTAAGAATATACATTTTCTAGCAGTCAATAGTAATAATAATGAGCTTTTAACCACAATTTATATAGTGTATTATTTAATTGACCAAAATAAAAAAGATCATTGCTATATACACTATATCTATGCTTTAAACAATGTATTAAAAGACAGTGGTCATAATGAAGATGTTAAGAATAAAAATATGTATGGTCGCTCTTTTAAGTCCTGGCAAACAATGACAGGAGAAAGTGAAGCATTTAGTTTACCTTACCCTCTATAATACCAAGTATTTTCTAAGTGTCAAGGTAGATTAAGTCCAAAAAACTTGTTTCTGTCAGCAAGAAGGAATTTAAGTTGAATAAGGTCTTCATAATGAAGAAATCATTCAATAGAAACTTGATTCACCGTCCACTGATAACAATTTAGGGATTTTCATGGAATTCATTGGGATCTAATTCAATGGCCTTTTGCCAGCATGGTGATAAGTATGTGAGCACGCTAGCACAGAATTACATCTGTAATTTCATCAAAACTCAACTAATTATTGCCCCAAAACAAATACACTTGAAATTTCCCAGGAACTTAATTTCCCATAAAAAGACAGCTCAGCAAAGCCTTTATAGCCAATAAAATTTCAAACACACAAATAACGGATACCAGTCCTTTTTAAGCAAGACTTATTACAACCATTGCTGTTGCATAATAAAGTAATAAGGTACTGTGACCATGCAGGCTAAAAAGATATATTGTCACCTTCTGGTGAACCTAGAATTGATTTAACACAGCACAATAGGTTTAGAGTTTTTATAGCAAGTATATAGCATAATAAGTACCCACATTTCACTTGCAGGCAAAGAAAACATTAATGGTAATTAAAGAATTAAGGTTAGATGTAATTTAGGTTTTTGCCATTCTCAGTAAGGCTTATACAAGTGCCGAGCTTATTGCTTTATTGTAAGCTACGCTAGTTGCAGCCTTAAATTCCTATATATTCAGTTGGAGACATTCAGGTGACAGCCTCTGTAAGGAGCTAAATTTTCAGTTTTCATTCAAAGTCAAAAGACATTAAAAAAAAAAAATTGGGATCACTGTCCAGAATTACACTTTTTCTCCTGTTTCAGTTATTTATTATAAGAACAATCAATGCAAATCATTTTACCTGTTTTACTCTTAGTTTTTAGACACTTGTTTAAAAAAAAGAAAAACAGGGAAAACAAATTTGAGTCACTCAAAATTGTCAATAGAAGTGGCTCTCCTTCTGTCCAAAGGATAAGGAACAAAGCCTTCAGAAACCCAGATGGCCCATACTCAGCAAAGGGGCTGCAGCCCCTCCACAGCTTGAATTGTTATGTGTGCTCCTCCATATGGCTGGCCCACTGTTTCAGTAAGAGAAGGAAAACATTCTTCAACTCCATTCAATAATGGAATGATAACAGATGCATGGCCCCTGGGACTCCTGTAATGCAACCAGAAAATCATTGCACGAAGGCATTACACTTGGGTAATTAATCTAAGAAGTATCTAGTTTTAATCCATGTTATTTATTTATTTTTTATTCAGTGAAGAATTTGCATCCTTATGCAAATTAATAGAGGTTTTATTATTTCCACTCATGTGCCCATGATTTATCCCTAGATATTCATCTAATCTCAGAAATCGATTTGGTCTCCCAACTGAAGGACTTTAACACTGACATAAAAATACAACTTAGCTCATGACTTTACTAAAACAAAATTTTAATTTTAGGCTCATCACAGCCACAGGCTACTGAAATGGAGCACTTCATTCAAGCAAGAAACCATGGGCAACCACCATGGCTGTGGTCCTGACTTGAGCTGCGTAACTTATTCTGTTAAGATTATTTATTCTGTTAGGACTGGATTGTTTTTTCATCAAAGCTCTGCTTTTGTATGTTCTGGTTTAAATTCCAATGACACTTTTAAAAATTAATCCTGAATTTCTATGATTACTAAGCTGAACGAGAAGTAAAATGGAAGTTAGGATCACAATCTTCTCATTGCTGAAATATTTTCATCCTATGATGCTTCCATTTTATCAGTTATTTCAGCTTCACAAAGCTTCAGTTACCTGTATCATACATACCCAAGCAATAGTTTATATCATTTGATTTTATTAAAGAGGTACTCGCTTTGTCACTTAATATCTGAGTAACATTCACTTTTGAAAACTGATATTTGAAACACCAGTTAAAAATACTAAAATATTTGTTTATTTTCTTTTAAAACAAAGTGACTTCAAAATAAAAGTTTTACACACCTTTTAGCTGATTATACTTTAGGTACTATCTAGTCTCTACAGAATCATTAAAGTATAACCACTTCTTCATAATATATTAGGTGATAATATACTAGGCCTGCAACAAAAAAAAAAAAAAAAAAAAAAAGAAGGCAGAGTCTCTCCATCTGCTGTTCAGTGGAGGAATCAAGAAAAATAAAAGATATCATGGGCAATGATAATCTAAATCATGCACTCTTGAAACAGCATACAAATTTAGTTCTTTGGGCCCTTTCCCACAAATTCATAATCATTTACAGGGCTTTACAAAAGCTGCAGCTTTTGCCATCATGAAACTGCAACACCTCCTGGTTTCTTAATACTGTGCACATACATCCTTGATGAGCTTCTGAACTCTGCAAAACTCATCCTTGCAGTTCAATTCAGATAAAAGACACACATGCTCTGTATTCACTCAAGCAGGTTTTATTTTGACTATGCATTTGATCTGTAGTATTTCTCTCTCTTTACGGGAACTAAAAACCAAAGAAAAGTCAAACAGTTAATCATATACTTTTATGGTAATCATTAAACATGGAGTATTATAAGTGAAGTCTCCAGGTTTCAACAAAGAGAGACAAGAATATAAAATGCAAACGCAAAAAGACAACACCTACCAACTTCATCATTCTATTTATAGCAACTAATATTCAGAGAAGGTTCCATGTCTGCAAAACAGGTTAAACCTCAAGCTTGACTATAACTATGGCTGTATGCGACTCACTTCCAGCAATTAATTGTTGCATTAGCAAGACAGCTATCAGTAACCCAGAAACCAGGTTCCCACTGACATTCACATATCCACAATTTTCAAATTAACTAACAAATATTAACATAAAACTCATTTCAACTTGTTAAAGTAAGCTTTCCTGCAATACCAGCTTCTTGCTCTGAAAGTCATAAACATCCATCATGCACATCCCTGCCCCTCTCAATTTATTTCTACATCTGCCTCCTATTTAATCTGCCTCTCCCACAGTAAATGGCAAATACTGAAGCCCCTGGCTAAGGCTGCAAGCGTGGCAGATGGAGTGCAGTGTGTCTATATTAACGATTTGATGCTTAAGACCTTCCAGCCACACAGCAGAGAAATGTTAAAATGTTGAAAAGTTGCATTTTATGATGACATCAAGGAATTCCATAGAATACTCCCACCTCAGCTGGGATTGCATCAAGACAGATGGTTTCATATTTTTGAAAAGTCCTTTTTTTTTTTTTTTTTTTTTTTTTTTTTTTACTAACTAGCGTAATCTTTACCAGTCTCCCAGTATATGGGCATCTCTTAAAATCTATCATTACTTTTCAAATAGATGGCAATGATTCTGCTGTGAATTCTTTCCAAGCAAAATCTTAAAGCAAGAGGACATGTGAGAACTGCACAGATATAGCACTTCATGGTTCTACTGAGCTTTGAAGAAATCACAAGACAATTTTCACTTTTTTTTGTGTAGATACAGTCATGTTTTAAGTTTGCTGTGGCTTCGCCTCAATTCATTGATAGAAGGATTAGTAAATGATTTGCTCAATTCAGAAATCAAGTCTTTGTTGCTTGCATCAAGAGCTGCCCTCCCTTCTTTTTGTACATCTTCTATGAATGCTGCATCACAGCTGTGATGCTAGGGATCAGCATTGATGGCCAGGTCTTTTATAAAGTTTGACTGATGGTTGTTCTTAGACATCACTAAGCTCCAGAATCCTCCTCTGAACAGGCTCAGATTTGTGGATTGTTACAAAAGCAATCCTGCTTTTACAGCTCAGAAAAACCACCATGTGCTGTGACTTACTTTCTCTTTCTCTCTCTCCCTTTTCATTTTTTTTTTTTTTTTCAAAAACGTCACCATGCTTTCTACAATAGGCATTTTTATTCTCTCTTTTGGTCCTGGCACAACCATTTTTGAATGCAATAGTGGTCTTTTTGCATTCCATCAGTCTCAAATTATAATCACTAACTGAAAGTCCAAGTCAAAAATCACTTTCATCATTAAAGTGTTTTCACTTACTGAAAAATTAAATTATATTCAAGGTACCTATTTAAAGTCACGTCCGTTGATTATAAGTGGGATTTTTTTGAATATGTTATTATCTCCTGCTAAACTTCCTTAAGGCAACCTAATAATAAGAACTAACTTGCAAGCCAATACAGCGAAAACTGCAAAATCTCAAATTAAAAATCTTAAGATGGCATATTAATGTAATTTATTAGGCTCTCTCCACTGTTAATTACTACATTAGTAAATCAGTATTTATGTAGATTAAGATTTTTTACTAAGGCAAGGGTAACATATTACAAGGAAGAAACATGTCTGCCACAGATTGCTCTGGTGCCTTTTTCACTAACCAGGTAAACTTTTCTCCTTCCAGACAGTTTCCTCATAACTGAACAATTTTTGCTGCTCACCTCAGGGAAATAAATGGAGATCACACTCCATCTTTTTTTTAAAAAATGAACATATCTACTCCAGTATAATCTGTTAATTACAGCAGGGATCCTGACTGTGAGATATTTTGGTAAAGACTTACAACCTCACACTTGGGTACATTAACCTTTACAGTAGGCAATTTCAGCACCTTAGACCAGCAGCTCTTACAACACTTAGGATGTTAAGCACATGTCACAAGATACAGTTCTCAAAAGAGGCAGAAAAACAAACCACCTACACACTTCAAGTGCAGCATGTTTTAAGATAATACACATTTTGTCCTTTCAGCAGATGTGCCTGAACTGAAATTGCTCTGTGTTTGGTTTAAGAACAAAAGGCACATGAAAAACAAATAAGTTTGAGTTAATCTGCAATACAATGTAACCATAGTACCTGCAGTTTTTAGATAATGTATCTAAACAGATAACACAAACTAACCGGTATCAGAAAGCAGAGCCTCAGATATTCCACATAAATTAGACATGCTTAACTTCAGAATCTAATTTCTGCCAAATCATTAGAAAGCCAATAGCATATCACTCACCTATCCTAGAAAACAAATGATCCATATGCAGCGCTAAAGTAACTGTCTATACAACTTCCTTGTGATAGAAACTTCAGTGCAAGTGCTCTGGCTTACTATGTGGCTGCCGAGGCATCTGCAAGTACATCGCCTGACAAGCTCGCCAGTGTATTTCAGGATGACTGACAGGGCACAGTGGCTGCTGGAGGGATGGCAGGGGGATGGGCATCCTTAAAGATATAATCTAATGCAGAAATATTTCCTAAAAAAAAAAAATCAAGAAATTAAAAAATTCCTTTAAATCTGCTTTGAGTATTTTGACAACATGAAACATGCCATTGCCATTACTTGTGGTGCTTATTCTTGTAATTTTCAATGCAGCTATTATTTTCCCATACATTCTGGTTAAATGCCAACTTCTGTCTCAAGGCCTTTGAATCAGCTTCAGACTTTTGAACAAGACAGCAAAGGGATTCATCGGCTTTCACCCAATCACTTGGCACTAAATTTATTTTCTTTCTTTCTTCTATTGTATTCTTTTCTACAGTGGCATATACTACATTATCCTATAAAGTTCATAAAACTCACAGGCCTTCTGAAGAGCAGGAAAGATACCAGAAACCATATTTTATTAAAAATACACATTCAGACTACTTTGTTTTTAACAAGAAACATATGCTCAGGACACACAGGACTTCCAAGGCATTAAACACTGTTGAGAAGGTTTAACAGAATGTTTGGTTACTTGTTCTTAACTATATATATTTTTTAAAAAACTTCCTTAATTGTGTTAACACCACCCTGGAATTGATATTTGCCAGCCTTTTTGCAACAGAATCAGCACAGTGAGTGCAAAACAGGTTTTACAGAAGCAACTATAACAGTGACTATCTTTTCCTATAATCCTATAGCTGATTCTGATATTCTAGAATGTAGTGGAGTTATTTGTTAAAATTTACTAGTCTTGTTTGTAGCAGAACTATATGGACTTTTTCTGCTTGAGGGCCTACTGTATTTGTAGGCACTAGAATGGAGAAATACCTCTGACATCTGGGAAGGATCCAGTCCATTTAACACTGAGGAAAACCTACAATGCTCCTCACAAATTTATTTAGTTGCATACTAAGTCATGAGGTTACACTCTAACCACATTAGATTACATTTTTATCATTACTAAGAAAAATGTCTGCTAAAGCAAAGACAGCACAAAGGAAAAAACAAGCCTGAAAGATGAAAAGGCTGACAAGATTCAGGTACCAGTTAATAAAATGTATTCACTGAAGGATACTTGATTTATCCAGGCTCTTTATATTTAGTTAGATTCTCAGTGAAGTAACGGGAAGCTATTTTTAATACTGAGAGTAAAAATTTTTTTTCTAATGCTTCCTCTCATCTCTCTGTGTCCACCTTCTGTCAACAGGCAATTTTAAGCAATTGCCCAACTTCAAGCACATCTGAAAGGCAGACAGCACCAGACTTCTATCAAATTCTTAAAAATAATTCTCATAATAAAAGAAATAACTAGAGTCAGACATCACCGCTTTTAGTGAATCCACCATGTAAAAGAACAGCACAGCAGCCTAACTGTTGAACACAGAAGACTCACACAGTAAGACACACAAGTGATGGACTGAACTAGTGAGGCAAAAACCCTTAATTAGGGCTTATAAAAGCTTTTGAGATGGGGGAAAATGTCACACCTCAAACAATAAGTTTACCTTATACGGACTGTCTGACATGTAGCAAAAAGACTTTTTTTTTTTTTAAACCAGGGTTGCAACATTGAGAACGGCATTCTCTTTCCTTGTTTAAGAGTAATGCTTAGTTTTTCTATAGTGATTTCCATCAAAGTACCTTTGCAAAAAGCGGTCACCTTCCAAACCCCAAAAGCAGAAATAATTTCCTCAAGATTGCACAGAATGCCACTGGCAGAATCAGGGATGTAATGATCTAATCACTAGAGCATATTCCTCTTTCCTTTAACTCCAGTCAATTGACTAGCTAAGAATAAAACATTTCCATTTCCAAACAGTTTGCGATATAAATATATAATCTCATATTCCATACACATGTCAAAGTTACCCAAATATTGGCATTTTTTATTCTTAGTAAGGTCAGTTAACATATTCTTCCTTACCCATACTACCTAATTTCTCTTCTTGCCTAAACAAACACACTTACAGCCATTGCAACACACAAGAATTCTAGGATACATTCCAACGGAGGTGTGAACCCTATGGCCTGGCCAGTTGCAGAACTTTTGGCTTTGCACTAACATCCCAAACTCTGTTCTTCAACCAGTAGCTATCTCGAACCAGGCAGTAGGCTCCTGAGCCTATAGCCACAGTTGGGAAAGCCTTCTCCACTGAAGTATAACTACAGGAAATTCAGAGTCCAACAGTACTTTCACTGTTTTAGCATTAAATTGAGAATTCCACTGATATCAATGAAAGTATTTATACACCATTACGAGTGAGAGCAGAACTAAACTTATCCTCCTGGGCCTGGAAATGCTTTAACACATCTTCAGTCCTATCTTTTATAACATCTCTTCCAGCCACATTTTTCTGGGTGTTCAAGTTCTGCATCTCAAGATTGTAGTTGTGATTAAAAAAAAAAAAAAAAAAAGATGAGTTGTCCTTAACATTCTCTGGGCCCACTTCAAATTCTTCCTAAACAAACAAAAATTCTTTGATGTGAACTACCTCTCGGCTATTTTCACTGCATGCACTTGGAGTACTGAACAAGTATCCCTCCATTTAAGTGGCACACAGTTCCCACATGAATGGCTATCCTGGGCTGGTAATGATAGGTTAAGAAGGTTTGGCTCCAAGCCTCCCCTTTCTTATCATTTTTGAAGTGTTCCTATCTTTATTCAGAACCAGAGACTCTGTTCAAATAAAGCTCAAGTTGACCTTGCACCAAAAATAGTCTATTGCTCACCTCATTAAAAGCTACTACACAAACAATTTCCACAATGTGCAACTGAAATGTTTTTAAAGGCTATTTTTCTTAGAAGGAATCCCTGAGTTTCCTTTTTTTTTTGCTGTATTAAACATAACCTATTGCATTATTATATTGCTTTTACTTAATAAATGTTTATTTCTTTCTCAATTGCAATGAGTTCACAATGAGTTCTCAATTGCAAAGAGCAAAAAAGCTCTTCCTTTCCTTCAGAAACAGCATTTCCTCAGTCAGAACTTAGATACTGTCTCCAAATCAAAATACGGCTGGAAAGAGCAACATTACTTAGCTGCTGTATCATTTCTGATCAAACAGCCTCACAGGTAGTGTCTAAAGATATTCTTGTTCCTCTTAACCTCCCTCTTCATTCCAAGTCACTCTCAAAATGACTTGGCTTAAGAAAGTCTGTTTGACATTGGATTAGTTTCCATTAGGAAACCAACAGACCAACAGAGGAGAAGTAGGAGAAAACAGTGGCAATTCCTGCTATTTTACTTTTTCTAGATAGCAGTCACCATGTCTAATTTTTTCCTGTTAATGTTTTGGGCTTCACCAGGTCTGAACGCGCCCCTTGTCTTTAAGAAGAGAGCCATAAGTGGGTTTTCTATAATGAAAAACTATCTTAAAGTACATAACCTATTTGAAATATGCCAATCTATTATACAGAGAAAGCTCTTCATTAGCCCTCACTTAGGAAGAGTGCCTTTTGGATTCTAAAAACAAGAGTAATTGTGTAAAATTGCTTTGTACAATAATGTAGTATTTTCAACAATGAGATGATAACCTGTATTTGCATAAACCTTCTAATATCCAGCAAAGAGAAGATAAATAAAACTTTGTTAAAGGAACAGTATTCACACAATATTCTATCTTTCCTTTCTAGGATTCCAATACAGAATCAAGGGACAAGTGGCTTCTTGCCACTTCCTATTTCTACAGTATTCCCACTTATACAGTATTACAGTATGGAATCAAATGACAAATTTCAAATGGCTTCAGATGAGAAATCACAATGATTTCTTACACACTCAGAGTCTAAAAACCTAAAAATAGTGTTTAATTAAAAATACATTAAGAACTTCTGAGTTTTGGGAGTCACTATTTGATTAACTGTTTATGGTTCAATTCACAGTTTAATGTTCTGTCACCAAGAGGAAAATTCTGTTCATTCACCTTCAAACTTACCTTTTGAATCAGGAATCGAACAAAAGAACTTGGAAACAGCTCTGTGAAGTACCCTCCTTGAAGCAACTTGACTCCAGAGGCACCGGGAGTGAGACAGCAAGTTTGACTGCCTGTCATTTCCAGTCTGTACGAAACAAAATAGGAGGAGAAAAGAGTTAGAATTGGGAGGGGAGTTCCATTTGGGACCTCCTCCTAAACTGCTAGTTCTTGACTTCACTGACAGCTTGTTACTGAAAATACCACTTACAGAAAGCGCAAGCTGATTCCCAGTCACACAAACACAGTTTGTCACTGAGCTTTTAGACCCTATTCCAGACCTCACTGAAGTCAGTGACAAGATTCCTCAGAAATCAATACGGTTTAGACTGAATATAAGAGGTAAAAAGGCAACAAGCCAACAAAGGGAAACTCAGGACAAATACTGATTTACATAGGTAAAGTTTAATACAGTGTAAAGTTTCACACAAACCATAACATACAAGGCAGTTGTCTTCTTTTACCATTCCAAAATACTGAAAGTGTATTACCATATTAATAATCCCACACTCAATTTCCACCAAATTGGCCGTTTAAGAAACAGACATCAGTGAAGTTTTGCCAATTCTTCATATTAATAATATTACTGCAGTACATAATAGCGTACATTAAAAAAAAAAAACTTCTGAAAGGGCAGAAGTTGCTCACTACTTCCCAAGGAATTTTTTGTTTTATTACTTCAACTTGTAATGATCTAAAATCAATCAGCCTACAACTAATGTACACCAGGTCCATGTGTCAGGTTGAACTTTCTTCTTGGAAAAATTTCTGCCAAAACAATTTGGCTATTTCTAGTTAATTTATGTGAAACATGCACAGACAGCCCGAAGGCCAAGGCAGTCTGGGACTCACAGATGAGACCTGA